ACCATCCGTAATAGTTTTGTTACTTAGCGTTGCTGCAGAGTTCATGTGATAGCAGTTAAAAACACCATCCGTAATAGTTTTGTTACTTAGCATTATTCTCTAAACTGGACTTGACCTTGCATTATTGTCATTTTTTGTGGGCTCAACATGTAAATAAATGCTGATCACAGTTTCATTGTTAAATCGATAAAAAATGAAACTATTTAGGATGCAAAGGGATCCCATACAGTACTGACAATGAGCAAAATGATACACCCACTTCGGAAGACAATTAATGGCAGTGGACAATTTCCATACAGAGATCTGAATTCAACTGTAATATTGAAACTTTACTGCTAACTCCCAAAGGGAAAAAAGTCCAAATAACCATCATCTGGGCAGTGGACAAATGAGTTTATGTTTTCACACCAGGACACTACCCATCATTATAAAATAGTTAAACACTGATATGCACAAGGATAAATCCAGTTGAAAGAAGCCAGATGCAAAAGGGTATATTTTCTGTAGATCTCATTCACTGGGGAAAAAAGTAAACATAGAAATATAAGGTTGTGCCTGGTGGTGGTGTGGTGCACACCTTTAATCCTAGCACTAGGGAGGCAGAGGCAGGCAGATCTCTGAGTTCCGGGACAGCCAGAGCTACACGGAGAACCATCAACAAAAAACAAAAGGAAAAGAAAAAAAACACATAGGGTTGAAGATGGCGATGTGTTGGGGGGATGACTTGAGTAGCACAAGGAATGTTTTGGGGTGATGGAAAATAAATACGCCATCTTGATTTTAATGGTTACAGAAATATATTATAGGTCAGAAATTACAACTCAAACCTATGGCTAAAAATGGCAAATTTTGTTTTATGTAAATTGTTTTTTTTTGGTAAAACTGACAAAGTTTCTAATAAAAAACAAAAAAAACTGAAAATAATTTACCTTATTGTCCGAAGGCAAAAAATAATGAAATCCTGTAGTTACCTCATCTCTTTAGTAGATAAATCCCTTCATTGAACAGGAGCTTTTCCTGGGATTCATGCCGGTGTGAACACATGAATGATGTCCTAGGTAAAGGTATATTTAATTTACATCCTATGAATGGTGATAGTACTAGAGTCATTAAGCTTTGGGTAGTGTGGGAACCTTACCTAAATAATCCTTTCAGTACTTACAAGAATTAAAGTAACGTTTCTTGAATCATTTCAGCCACAAAATGAGCATATTGAATTACACCGTAAACGCTATGGATATCGTTTGGATTACCATGAGAAAAAGAGAAAGAAAGAAAGTCGGGAGGCCCATGAACGTTCAAAGAAGGCAAAGAAAATGATTGGCCTGAAGGCTAAGCTCTACCATAAGCAGCGCCATGCTGAGAAAATACAAATGAAAAAGACGTAAGTGGTCCTGTCTAACTCTCAGGATCGGGAACACCCATTGGGTGATCATTGCCAAACACATTCCAAATCTCTTTCCTTTCTGATAGTATTAAGATGCACGAAAAGAGAAACACCAAGCAAAAGAATGATGAAAAGACTCCACAAGGAGCAGTACCTGCCTACCTGCTGGACAGAGAGGGGCAATCTAGAGCAAAAGTGCTTTCCAACATGATTAAGCAGAAACGAAAAGAGAAGGCGGTAAGCGATGAAAAAATTAATCTTGTCTTGCTTGACAGAAATATTTATATTAAAATTTGAGGTTCTAGGTTTATCTCCAGTTTAATTTGGAACATTAAGTGCAACTCTAGTTCCGTTTTTATATCAAAGTCCTAAAATGTTTCATAAATTTATTTTGATGATTTAAGATTTGATTATTTTTATTTTACATGTATGTTTGCCCATGTGTGTGCATTTCTGACACTGCATGATGCCGACAAAGGCCAGAACTGGAATTACTGTTGTGAGCTGCTATGTGGGTGCTGAGAACTGAATCCAGGTACTCTGAAAAGCGGCATTTGAAGGGCTCCTGGCTGCTAAGCCAGCTCTCAAGCCACAATTTTATAAATTTAGTTTGATAGAAACTTCTGTCTTATCACCAAGATTGAAATATCCCCGTTGAAAACATTTCGAATTTAAGTTTTAACAAAATGTATCACTGGGAGCTGTGGAGTAGCTCATTTGATAAAAGTTTGCCTAGTTTGTCTGTAATCCCAGCACTTGGGAGGGGGCGGGG